GTCAGAGCTATATACAGAGTATCTCCCAGAAGTGAGTCCATCCCTCCCCCGGACTGTATACATATGTATATTATATATACAGAGTATCTCCCAGAAGTGAGTCCCCCCCTCCAGAGCTTCACAGGTTGCCACTGAAGTCCTCTTCCCCTCCTCCATGACGACATCACGGGGCTGGTGGATGTTAGAGTACCTTGCGCTCCTCCACCTTCCATCTTCCACTCCTCCATGACTACATCACGGGGCTGGTGGATGTTAGAGACCTTGCGCTCCTCCACCTTCCATATTTCCACTCCTCCATGACGACATGCCACGGGGCTGGTGGATGTTAGAGACCACAGGTTGCGCTCCTCCACCTTCCATCTTCCACTCCTCCATGACGACATCACGGGGCTGGTGGATGTTAGAGACCTTGCGCTCCTCCACCTTCCATCTTCCACTCCTCCATGACGACATCACGGGGCTGGTGGATGTTAGAGACCTTGCACTCCTCCACCTTCCATTTGAGGAGGCCCCACAGATGCTCAATAGGGTTCAGGTCTGGAGACATGCTTGACCAGTCCATCACCTTTACCCTCAGCTGCTTTAGCCAGGCAGGGTGGTCTTGGAGGTGTGTTTGGGGTCGTTATCATGTTGGAATGCTGCCCTGTGGCCCAGTCTCCGTAGGGAGGGGATCATGTTCTGCTTCAGTATGTCACAGTACATGTTGGCATTCATGGTTCCCCTCAATGAACTGTAGCCCCCCAGTGCCGGCAGCACTCATGCAGCCCCAGACCATGACACCCCCACCACCATGCAGCCCCAGACCATGACACCCCCACTCCATGCAGCCCCACCATGGGGCCCCAGACCATGACACTCCCACCACCATGGGGCCCCAGACCATGACACTCCCACCACCACCAAGCCTGACTGTAGGCAAGACACACTTGTCTTTGTACTCCTCACCTGGTTGCCGCCACACACGCCTGACACCATCTGAACCCATTCAGTTGGTCTTGGTGTCAGACCACAGGACGTGGTTCCAGTAATCCATGTCCTTATGCAGGCCATAGACGGGTCGTTTATCGGCCAAATTTCGTCCGCATGAAAAAATCAGCCGATATTCACGCCGTTAGTGGGGCAATACTGTCGGCCGTTTTTTTGCGGATCTTCTCGTTTACTTTTATCTGTCATGCTGGAAAATCCACGAAAAAACTACCATTTTTCTTGGACATTGGTGGCAGCATCGCTGCCAGCAACGATGGATTTTTCGTTTATTGGCCGAAAATTCAGCCGACAAATGGCCTGTCTATGGCCTCCCTTAGTCTGCTTGTCTTCAGCAAACTGTTTGCGGCTTTCTTGTGCATCATCTTTAGAAGAGGCTTCCTTCTGGGGTGACAGTCATGCAGACCAATGTGATGCAGTGTGCGGCGTATGGTCTGAGCACCGACAGGCTGACCCCTACACCCTCTGCAGCAATGCTGGCACCACTGACAGGCTGACCCCCCCCCCACCCCTTCACCCTCTGCAGCAATGCTGGCACCACTGACAGGCTGACCCCCCACCCCTTCACCCTCTTCAGCAATGCTGGCACCACTGACAGGCTGACCCCCCACCCCTACACCCTCTGCAGCAATGCTGGCCCCACTGACAGGCTGACCCCCCACCCCTTCACCCTCTGCAGCAATGCTGGCCCACTGACAGGCTGACCCCCCACCCCTTCACCCTCTGCAGCAATGCTGGCCCAGCACTGACAGGCTGACCCCCCACCCCTACACCCTCTGCAGCAATGCCAGCCCCCTGACAGGCACCCCCCACCCCTTCACCCTCTGCAGCAATGCTGGCACCACTGACAGGCTGACCCCCCCCCCCCACCCCTTCACCCTCTGCAGCAATGCTGGCAGCACTGACAGGCTGACCCCCCCCTTCACCCTCTGCAGCAATGCTGGCAGCACTGACAGGCTGACCCCCCCTACACCCTGCAGCAATGCTGGCCCCACTGACAGGCTGACCCCCCCCCCCCCCCTACACCCTCTGCAGCAATGCTGGCAGCACTCATATGTCTATTTCCCAAAGACAACCTCTGGATATGACGCTGATCACGTGCACTCAACTTCTTTGGTGGACCATGGTGAGGCCTGTTCTGAGTGGAACCTGTCCTGTTACACCGCTGTATGGTCTTGGCCCCCGTGCTGCAGCTCAGTTTCAGGGTCTCGGCAATCTTCTTATAGCCTCGGCCATCTTTATGTGGAGCAACAATTCTTTTTCTCAGATCCTCATAGAGTTCTCTGCCATGAGGTGCCATGTTGAACTTCCAGTGACCAGTGTGAGAGACTGAGAGCGATAACACCCAATGTAACCCCCCCGCTCCCCATTCACACCTGAGACCTTGTAACACCAACGAGTCACATGACACCGGGGAGGGAAAATGGCTAATTGGGCCCAATTTGGACCTTGTCACTTAGGGGTGGAGTCACTTTTGTTACCAGCGGTTTAGACCATCATGGCGGTGTGTTGAGTTATTTTGAGGGCACAGAAAAAATTTCCATGTTATACAAGCTGTACACTGACTACGTCACATTGTAGCAAAGTGTCATTTCTTCAGTGTTGTCACATGAAGAGATAGAATCAAATATTGACACAAATGTGAGGGGGGGGGGACTCACTTCTGGGAGATACTGTAAATGTATGATAATAATAATAGTGTGTGACTGTGGGGGAGGGGACATTAGAGTGTAAGCTCCTCTGGTACAGAGACTGATGTGACTGGCTTAGTGTTCTCTGTACAGCGCTGCGGTATATGTCAGAGCTACTGTATATAAATGTATAATGATAAGTGTGTGTGACTGTGGGGGAGGGGACATTAGAGTGTAAGCTCTTCTGTACAGAGACTGATGTGACTGTGGGGGGAGGGGACATTAGAGTGTAAGCTCCTCTGGTCTGTGGGGGAGGGGACTCCTCTGGTACAGAGAGTGATGTGACTGTGGGGGAGGGGACATTAGAGTGTAAGCTCCTCTGTACAGAGACTGATGGGACTGTGGGGGGAAGGGACATTAGAGTGTAAGCTCCTCTGGTACAGAGACTGATGGGACTGTGGGGGGAGGGGACATTAGAGTGTAAGCTCCTCTGGTACAGAGACTGATAGGACTGTGGGGGAGGGGACATTAGAGTGTAAGCTCATCTGGTACAGAGAGTGATGTGACTGTGGGGGAGGGGACATTAGAGTGTAAGCTGCCCTGGTACAGAGACTGATGTGTCTGTGGGGGAGGGGACATTAGAGTGTAAGCTCCCCTGGTACAGAGACTGATGTGTCTGTGGGGGAGGGGACATTAGAGTGTAAGCTCCCCTGGTACAGAGACTGATGTGTCTGTGGGGGAGGGGACATTAGAGTGTAAGCGCCTCTGGTACAGAGACTGATGTGTCTGTGGGGGAGGGGACATTAGAGTGTAAGCCCCTCTGGTACAGAGACTGATGGGACTGTGGGGGGACATTAGAGTGTAAGCTCATTTGGTACAGATACTGATGGGACTGTGGGGGAGGGGACATTAGAGTGTAAGCTCCTCTGGTACAGAGACTGATGTGACTGTGGGGGAGGGGACATTAGAGTGTAAGCTCCTCTGGTACAGAGACTGATGGGACTGTGGGGGAGGGGACCTTTAGAGTGTAAGCTCCCCTGGTACAGAGACTGATGGGACTGTGGGGGAGGGGACATTAGAGAGTGTAAGCCTCTGGTACAGAGACTGATGGGTGTAAGTGTAAGCCTCTGTACAGAGACTGATGGGACTGTGGGGGGACATTAGAGTGTAAGCTCATCTGGTACAGATACTGATGGGACTGTGGGGGAGGGGACATTAGAGTGTAAGCTCCTCTGGTACAGAGACCAATGGGACCGGCTCAGTGTCCCTCTGTACAGCACTGTGGTATATGTCAGCACTCTATACAGTAAATGTATAAGAGGAATACTGTGTGACTGTGGGGGAGGGGACATTAGAGTGTAAGCTCCTCTGGTACAGAGACTGATGTGTCTGGGGGGGAGGGGACATTAGAGTGTAAACTCGTCTGGTACAGAGACTGATCTGACTGTGGAGGAGGGGACATTAGAGAAACAGAGACCCAATGGGACCTAGGCTCCTCGCTAAGCTCCTCTGGTACAGAGACTGATGTGATGACTGTGGGGGGGGGGACATTAGAGTGTAAGCTCCTCTGGTACACAGAGACTGATGTGACTGGCTCAGTGTTCTCTGTGGCGCAGCCTTTGTTCATCCTGGAAGTCATGGAGTCAGCCTTCTCCCGGAAGATTGCGATCCTCTCATGCCCTTCTCGTCTGGCAGCCACACATCTATAACTTCATTCTGGGCTCCACAAGGACAAGTGTCATAAAAAAGGAAATTTCATTAAGAACAAAAGGCAGCTGCTGATTGAAGGCACCTCCGGGGCTTCCGCCGCACTCAGAATGAGTCCCTGGAAAGGACAGAAAATTGTGATGTTCCTCATTATGGAAAGGACAAGGCTGGCCGTAGTAGTTAGGAGAGCTCAATCATTACGTACCAGAACAGAAGACTCGTAAAGCTCTCTGCCAGCTGTGCAGCACTTTGAGTTGGGCCAGCTTGTGCCGCATATGGTTAGCAGGTGTTGGAAAGATGACAGTTTAGAGGCAGAACTGGAAAAACAAAGGCGCCGTCCTGTACGAGGATCTGGGAGAGCCCTGACACGGATGTCCCAACGCAGACCAACCAACACGGGTAAAGTGCCAGGATGACTGACAGCTTGCCACAGATGTTGAAGTTGGCCCACAGGTTCTTCCTACCGGATGAGAAGAGTCCATTGGCCCACATACAAGTAGATGAGCTAGTAGACACGCGCGTTTCTGTTCATTTCGGTTCTTTTTTTCAGATAAAAATTCAATTTTTTTGAGATTCAGATGTACACAAATCTTCAAATAGACATAGTACTGTATGTAAACGTAAAAAAAGTTACAGCGAAAAATAATTAATTCAGATGACGTCGCATGGTGGTTGGTGGGAAGAATGCTCTTTGCATAGGTTGTTAATGGGACAGATTTTTCCTACATTGGTGGTCAGTGGGAAGAATGTCCCTTACATTGGGGATCAGTGGGAAGAATGTCCCTTACATTGGGGGTCAGTGGGAAGAATGTCCCTTACATTGGTGGTCAGTGGGAAGAATGTCCCTTACATTGGGGGTCAGTGGGAAGAATGTCCCTTACATTGGGGGTCAGTGGGAAGAATGTCCCTTACATTGGTGGTCAGTGGGAAGAATGTCCCTTACATTGGGGGTCAGTGGGAAGAATGTCCCTTACATTGGTGGTCAGGGGTCAGTGGGAAGAATGTCCCTTACATTGGGGGTCAGTGGGAAGAATGTCCCTTACATTGGTGGTCAGTGGAAGAATGTCCCTTACATTGGGGGTCAGCGGGAAGAATGTCCCTTACATTGGTCAGTGGGAAGGTACATTGGTGGTCAGTGGGAAGAATGTCCCTTACATTGGTGGTCAGTGGGAAGAATGTCCCTTACATTGGGGTCAGTGGGAAGAATGTCCCTTACATTGGGGTCAGTGGGAAGAATGTCCCTTACATTGGGGGTCAGTGGGAAGAATGTCCCTTACATTGGGGGTCAGTGGGAAGAATGTCCCTTACATTGGGGGTCAGTGGGAAGAATGTCCCTTACATTGGTGGTCAGTGGGAAGAATGTCCCTTAAATTGGGGGTCAGTGGGAAGAATGTCCCTTACATTGGGGGGTCAGTGGGAAGAATGTCCCTTACATTGGGGGTCAGTGGGAAGAATGTCCCTTACATTGGGGGTCAGTGGGAAGAATGTCCCTTACATTGGTGGTCTTACAGTGGGAAGAATGTCCCTTACATTGGGGGTCAGTGGGAAGAATGTCCCTTACATTGGTGGTCAGTGGGAAGGATGTCCCTTACATTGGTGGTCAGTGGGAAGAATGTCCCTTACATTGGGGGTCAGTGGGAATTGGGGGTCAGAGGGAATAATGCTCCTTACATTGGTGATTGGTGGACCATGAATTTGCTTCCTGACCCAAGGCTGCTGTTAGAAATCAAGGGGCCCCGTACAGTCTATCTGAAAGGGTTTTTTTTTTTTTACCTGTGGGGGTGGGGGGAAGGGCATTCGGTGAAATATTAGGGGTCTCAAAATACCTCTGATGTCTCATTTTTTGAGACAGTGAATGAGGTTATAGATTCCTCAACCCCGTCTCTGCAGCCTCTCCTGCACTGCAGATAAATGAACAGGAAGTCACTCTGTACGAAGGATCCCTGTTCATTCACTAATGGAAGCATAGTTTAAAACAGTTTACCATGCTTCATGCTTCAGTTATGAATGAACTCAGGAGCCAGGAGGAAGGCACAGATACTGGAACTGATTGTGGGTCCCCATGCAGCAGCTGAAAGCTGGCAGGAGGGGGAGAAGCCATGGTGGGATCAGTTTTATCTATAATTTAGTGCAGCTGACCCTGTTGCTCATCAGGCACCCAAGCTCCCCTATTGAAATGAAGGGGGCCTGGGCCCCATACAGATGAAAGGCCAGCTGTACTTTATCAGCATCCCTGGCTGACCCCTTACCTGTGTGCCTGGTCTGCTGCTGAACATAGCTTGTGATTAGTGGGGTGGGCAAGAAATTGTCAGCCTCTACCCGGTGACTCCATACTGCCACTGGAAGGACTCCTGTGTTTGCAAGCTCCAGTTCACCAATCCAGCCTCCTGGCACCTGCACCCTTCACTGCCCTAGAAGTCCCTGTTACCACTACAAGGGTGCTTGAACAGGATATGCACAAGAGGCCACCCTCCTCATCTCAGGGTCCACCATCAATTACGTGACACTTCCCCAATTTGGAGTGAGAATGAGATGATAGAGCCTTGGAGGCAGTTTGGGGGACTCGGGTTCCAACACCAATCCAGCCTCCTGGCACCTGTGCCCTTCCATGTCCTAGAAGTCCCTGTTACGACTACCAGGGGTGCTTGGATGGGAATTACACAAGAGGCCACCCTCATCATCTCGGGATCCACCGTCAGGTGGGTGACACCTCCCCAGATTTGGAGTGAGAATGGGATGATAGAACCTTTTGAAGGCAGCTTTGGGGACTAGTGTTTTCAACACCAATCCAGCCTCCTGGCACCTGCAGTGCCCTTCCACTGCCCTAGAAGTCCCTGTTACAACCACCAGGGGGTGCTTGGATGGGAATTACACAAAAGGCCACCCCCATCATCTTGGGATCCACCGTCCAGGTATGTGACACCTCCCAGATTTGAGTGAAAATGTGATGATTAGAGCTTTGGAGCAGCTTTGTGCCCCAGGTTCCAACACCAATCCAGCCTCCTGGCACCTGTGCCCTTCCACTGTCCTAGAAGTCCCTGTTACGACTACTGGGGTGCTTGGGGGAATTACACAAGAGGCCACCCTCATCATCTCGGGATCCACCGTCAGGTGGGTGACACCTCCCCAGATTTGGAGTGGTGAATGGGATGCTTAGAGCCTTGAACTGCCAGCTTTGGGGACTCTGTGTTGCAAGCTCCTGTTCACCAATCCAGCCTCCTGGCAACCTGTGCACCCTTCCACTGCCCTAGAAGTCCCTGTTACAACCACCAGGGGTGCTTGGATGGGAATTACACAAAGGCCACCCCATCATCTTGGGATCCACCGTCCAGGTATGTGTGACACCTCCCCAGATTTGAGTGAAAATGTGATGATAGAGCTTTGGAGGCAGCTTTGTGATTCAGGTTCCAACACCAATCCAGCCTCCTGGCACCTGTGCCCTTCCACTGCCCTAGAAGTCCCTGTTACAACCACCAGGGGTGCTTGGATGGGAATTACACAAGAGGCCACCCTCATCATCTTGGGATCCACCGTCAGGTGGGTGACACCTCCCCAGATTTGGAGTGAGAATGGGATGATAGAGCCTTGAAGGCAGCTTTGGGGACTCGTGTTCCAACACCAATCCAGCCTCCTGGCACCTGTGCCCTTCCACTGCCCTAGAAGTCCCTGTTACAACCACCAGGGGTGGCTTGGATGGGAATTACACAAAAGGCCACCCTCATCATCTTGGGATCCACCGTCCAGGTATGTGACACCTCCCCAGATTTGAGTGAAAATGTGATGATAGAGCTTTGGAGGCAGCTTTGTGCCCCAGGTTCCAACACCAATCCAGCCTCCTGGCACCTGTGCCCTTCCACTGCCCTAGAAGTCCCTGTTACAACCACCAGGGGTGCTTGGATGGGAATTACACAAGAGGCCACCCTCATCATCTCGGGATCCACCGTCAGGTGGGTGACACCTCCCCAGATTTGGAGTGAGAATGGGATGATAGAGCCTTGAAGGCAGCTTTGGGGACTCGTGTTCCAACACCAATCCAGCCTCCTGGCACCTGTGCCCTTCCACTGCCCTAGAAGTCCCTGTTACAACCACCAGGGGTGCTTGGATGGGAATTACACAAAAGGCCACCCCCATCATCTTGGGATCCACCGTCCAGGTATGTGACACCTCCCCAGATTTGAGTGAAAATGTGATGATAGAGCTTTGGAGGCAGCTTTGTGCCCCAGGTTCCAACACCAATCCAGCCTCCTGGCACCTGTGCCCTTCCACTGCCCTAGAAGTCCCTGTTACAACCACCAGGGGTGCTTGGATGGGAATTACACAAGAGGCCACCCTCATCATCTCGGGATCCATCGTCAGATACGTGACACCTCCCCAGATTTGGAGTGAGAATGGGATGATAGAACTTTGGAGGCAGCTTTGGGTCCCCAAAGCACCAATACAGAGGGCCCATGTGACACCTCCACTATCCCTGTATGATGCTCCATTATAAGTCACAGTGTTCTCCATGTCCATGTGTTTAATCCTTTCCTCGTCAAGATTTATCATCCGGCCCGGCTCTCGTCTAGCCATAACGACCCCCCCTCCAAAGTTTCTTTTTATTAGCAATCGGTCTTGGAGCGCCAGCAAAAGAAAGTTGTGCCGTAAAAAAAAGGGCAGAGGGATCCCAGATGGAGGGTTTGTAACATTCAGCAGGTTTTTATTGCGGGGGCGATTATCCTTTATCTCCTGAGTGGAGTATGAGGAGCGCGCCTCGTAATCTATAGATAGAATCAGGAGATTCGCAGGGAACAGCCAGCAGATGCGTAGTATTAGCTCTGGCACACAGAACCCGCTTTTTCCATCGTATTTTATTTTTTATCAGCTCGCTGTGATCCGAGCTCTTATTATTTCGACATCCTATCAACACTTCACATGCAAAAGTGAACTCACCATCAGGACACGCGTGGCTCCGCGCACAGCTGACACACGCAAAAAATTAACCCTTACGCAAACTAACCCCCAACAAGGTGTAGGGGAGTCCAAAAATAGATATGAAAAATTCTGGAGAATTTGATATAGAAGGATGGCATCTTGTGTTAGAAATTGTGTTTTCTTGGTATTTAACCCTTTCGCTGCTGTTTTTTTTTTTTTTTTTTGCAGACCCGTGCAAACTTTTTCAGCCATTCGAACTTGTAACGGAACCGGACCCCGACTACACTAGGGTATTTCCGTTAGACTCTCGCTTCGCTGTCCGAACACAGATCCAGGGGACACAACCGCTGATCATACAGCACCTGTCAGGGATCTCCTCGATCCCCGCCGCGATGGGCCCGGCGCAGGCGCACTGCTCCACCCAGTACACGGGCACTAGGTCCGGGCCGGCCGCGGTCGAGTTCGCGCATGCGCAGTAGAAGCCGCGGCCGCCCGCTGGGCACAATGGCATCGCAGGGCGGGATATTTAAAGGTCCCTGAGCTGTCATTTCGTTGCCTTCTGGTCTTACCTGCTTCCTGTGTTCCTGTACCTGTGCCTAGTAAGTTATTGACCCGGATTGCCTTTGACCTTGCTGATTTCTCCTGCCCAGACCCTTGCTTGCCTGACCTCTCTCCCTGGATGCCCCTTATTAGATCTGACCTCCTGTTGCTGACCTGGCGTGTGACCCGACGATTCTCTGCCTGCTCCCTTGTACCTTACCGTCCTCTACATTACCGACTCGGCCTGTCTGACTACGCACTTGCTCAGCCATCCATCCATCCATCCCATCGGGGTCACCCGACCTCCTCACATCTGGCTCTCCCTGGTTGGAACCCCTGGCGAACACCACTACCACTGACAGGTGTGCTCAGTAGAGGCGACCTGGTCTCGGGGTACTACAAGTCCATCCCCACCATCAGGGGCCCTGGTGAACAAGTACCCTGGGGCTTAGACTCCGCACTCTGGGCACGCCTGACCAGTGGAGTGCTAGTGGTGCCGCTCGGCGGTCCCTCACAGTACCAGACATGAATTAAAACAGGAAATGGACTGCTGTATTTTAACATAGATACATGATATATACACAGGGAGGGGCAATACAACCAGTAACAGGAAACACATCAGCAAACCGTCCCATCAGGGGGAAGGGCTGCCAGAAACACCCCCCACCAAGCCAGTACAAATACATACATCCCATAATAGTTTGCTCCCAAGCAAGACA